GCGGCGGCGTTTTTGTGGGGCTGACCCTGGCCAGCCGCTCGGACGTGTGTTCAGATGCTCGTGTGCTGGCAGATGGCCGGCTCTGCCGTTTCTCCGGCGCTGAGCGGTGGCAGGGAAGAATGCCTGTGTTGTAAGAGACGCCGTTGAGGTTAGACAGCTGATGTGCTTTTTTGGCTGCCATCAGATTGCCGGCTTGCCCAATGACACCCTGTCCGTGGAGAACGGCGTCATAACGCAGTTTTCACAGCGCTGGACTCACTTCATAGACCCCCAGGGACAAGCCAACAAATGGATCAAGAACTTGGTAAGAGCTTCTTCCGCTCGTGGCCACGTTTGCTGGTACCGGTGGGAGCGTTAGCTGCAAGGCCAGACGTTCCTCTGCGGTTCCTTCTCTTTCCCCTGCCTTTTCTCTTCCTTCCCTTCCTTGTGCAGTGCATTCTGTCTGGAGCTGCATATAGGGGGATCCTCAGTCCCTTGGGTGGGATTTTCATAGGAAAAGGACCAGGAAGAAATCCAGCCCAGGGTCAGGCAGAATAGATGGGCTTTGGGGTTTGCCTTTAAGGGGCCCCCAGACTCAGGCTACTTTGCACGATGGTGGGAGCAGACTCCAGGCCCCTCAGCGAGCACTCCTGGTACAGACCCAGGGGGCTCCAGCCTGGCCCAGGTTCCTGACCATAAAACCGTTGGAGGGGAGCTCAGGGAGGAGAGAAGAAGTGGCCCAGCGCTAAGGTCCTGGACTGGGACCCAGAAGATCTGGCCTGTTGGGTGTCTTTGGGCTCCTCACTTGAACCCCTCCCTGCCTCAGTTTCCCCACCTGTGACGCGGAGATTCTGACACTGCCCTGCGGTGCAAAGTGCTACAAGAGTTGCTGACGGAAAGTTCAAGGGCAGAGCTAAGTATTCCTGTGAGCTAGGACCGCAGCGCTCGCCGCGGTCTGCTGGCCTGGGGGGAGGCCGTTTGCGGTCCGCATCCAGACTGCTGTACCTGACTAATGTGTTCCCAGAGACAGCCGCTGCAGCAGCCCTCTAGTGCAGTGAGGGGCCGGGGGAGAGAGGGGTTTAGCAGCTTTCCTTACTGCACCTGCGGCCTCTCTGATCCCTGGAGGATTCTGCAGTCCCACCTACTCCTGCCTTGCAGGCCAATCGGGGCTCTGGGTGTGTCCTGGCAGCTAAGTGAGACCTGGTTTCTAGCCCCTCTGGGTGGGGCCCAGATCTCTGGGCCTAGGAGCAGTGCAGGGGGAGTCCAGTGGCGTTACAGCTAGGGATGGAGGATGCGAGGGATACAACCATGCCCAGTTCCCATGGCCAACCAGCACGGAGGCTCAGACCAGGCAGCTGACCGGGTTGAAGCTGTTGGGCTCCCTGGGTTTTACAGTCTGCACGCTGCGGGGCACAGGGATTTCTTTCGTGCACTAGCAGTCTGGCTTCCCTGCGTTGCCCACCACCGTGCTCCAGACGCCCTCCCTTGTCCTCCAGGAGAAGGAGAGCGGGTTGGAAGTGGCCAAGCTGAGCGACCGGGACTTTCTGCGCAGCTTGGAGAACTCCATTCGCTTCGGGAAGCCGTTCCTGCTGGAGAACGTCGGGGAGGAGCTGGATCCGGCGCTCGAGCCCGTCTTGCTGAAACAGGTTCTTCCCTGCTCGTTGTGGGACGGGACAAGCGGGCCCCTCGGCTGGCCTGGCGCTGGCCTCTCCCGTGCTGGCAGGAAGCGGGGGCCTGTGTCTGGTGAGGTTGAGGTTTTGGAGGCAAGAAATGTAGATGCGCCAGTCAGAGTGGTGGAAATTGGGCCTCCGGCTCAGGGGTGGGGAACCTAAGGCCCCCGGCTTGCCTGGATCCGGCCCCCGAGGTGCAGGGCTTCTCCCTAACACTGGAGAGCCTGTGCTGGGGCTTCAGTCCTTCTGACGTGCCCCCATCTCCCGCAGGGCTGGAGCACACAAAATCTACTAGCCAGGTGTGCAAGGGGAACCTGGGGAGCGTCTTTTTCCTTCTCAGTCGGGGGCCAAGGCAGTGGGGGTTCGGGGCTTTTTTGCTTCCCACTCGTGTGCGGCCCCAACTGGTTATTCTGTGGGTCAGCGGCCCCCGACCCGAAGAAGGTCCCCGCCCCTGCTGTAGCTCTCCTTTGAACATCTTTCTCTAGCCTGCCACTGCTGAAAGCCGTTCAAAGGAGATCTGGAGCGGGGCGGGAGATCTACAGCTGTGTTTTAAATGGAGGCGTTCCCATGTCGCTCGTGTCCCTCTCTTGCCAGACTTACAAGCAGCAGGGCAGCACGGTGCTGAAGCTGGGAGATACGGTCATTCCGTACCACGAGGACTTCACGATGTACATCACCACCAACCTGCCCAATCCCCACTACCCGTTCAAAGGAGATCTGGAGCGGGGCGGGAGATCTACAGCTGTGTTTTAAATGGAGGCGTTCCCATGTCGCTCGTGTCCCTCTCTTGCCAGACTTACAAGCAGCAGGGCAGCACGGTGCTGAAGCTGGGAGATACGGTCATTCCGTACCACGAGGACTTCACGATGTACATCACCACCAACCTGCCCAATCCCCACTACACGCCGGAGATCTCCACCAAGCTCACGCTCATCAACTTCACCCTCTCGCCCAGGTACCCGGCCCCCCGTTGCACCAACTGAGCTCCCAAGCTATAGGAATCAGAAGGATGTGCCGTGTGCTGAGGGTGCCAGCCCGGTGAGACCTGGGTTCAGTTCCCAGCCCTGCCTTGGGCAAGTCACTTAGTCCCTCTGTGCTTCATGAAGACAATTGGCTTTCTCTGCCACACTGGGGTTTGGTGAGGCAGTCGGGGGTTATAGCGAGGGGGGCCACATACACATAGGTGCCAGCCCTGTGGGTGCTCTGGGGCTGGCGCGCACACGGAAAAAAATTAATGGCTACTTAGCATCCACAGACAGCCAGCTCCTCCCCTCCCACGGCCCCCTGTCTGCCACAGCCTTTAAGATCAATTCCTCCCCCTCCTCCCTCCAGTGCTTCCCAGTCTGCAATCAGCTGCCCCCTGGTGGGCAGGAGGGAGGGGAGGAGTGGGAATGGGGCACACTGGAGGGGAGGGGATGGAAAGAGGCGAGGTGGGGATGGGCTGTGGGGCAGAGGCAGAGAGTCGGGGTGGGGGCAGGACCTGGGGTGGAGCAGAGATGTGAGCCCCCCGGGGCCCACAGGAAGCTAGTGCCTGTGCGTAGAGATTCACATACCACAGGTAGCTGTGTTGTGCTTAAAAGAAGCACCCAGGATCTTTTTCAGGGGGATAAGGCAACATGCCACATTTATTGAACATACATAGATCAATCAATACTTATCATATGCATATTACACATTACACTCATGCACTCACACACACAAGCACACTCTGTCTTCTTGTTACCAAAAGTTGCTCCCCCTAACTGCACTGGCCAGGGTTTAGCATTGTGCAAACATAAATCCTTTTAGATTCTCATTTTTATGTTTGACTTCTTTTTCCCATCTTTCTTTCTGGAGGGCTACAATTTGAACTTTCTGATCTCAGAAAGGGGATAGAAATGGTGTCCCTGGCCTCTGTTTTGGAAGGCTGGAGATGGATAGCACGAGACAAATGGCTTGGTCATTGTCTTCGGTCCATCCCCTCCGGGGTAGCTGGTGTTGGCCGCTGTCGGCAGACAGGCTACTCTGGCCTTTCCTAATGCTGCTTCAAAGAGAGTTCTTCCAAGGGCAGGCACTTGCTGCTTGACTCCCTAGGTGTCTGTCTGTCCAGTCTTCTTAATGAGCTCACTGCACAGGTATTGTCTTAGATCTGGCTCCCAGCCCCTCTCCACCCTTGCAACTGCTGCTGGAGGTGCTCCCCTTTCATTCTCCATTCACACCGCATTCATTTCAACAGGGCAATCAAGGAAAGGGGAGAGCTCAAAAGACTTTTTTCTTACAAGATCTAGATATCTTAGTCTGTCTGTCCAGTCTTCTTAATGAGCTCACTGCACAGGTATTGTCTTAGATCTGGCTCCCAGCCCCTCTCCACCCTTGCAACTGCTGCTGGAGGTGCTCCCCTTTCATTCTCCATTCACACCGCATTCATTTCAACAGGGCAATCAAGGAAAGGGGAGAGCTCAAAAGACTTTTTTCTTACAAGATCTAGATATCTTAATACAAAGTTCTAGGAGAAATGTTACAGAGATTCTCTAAGAACACTTAACAAAGATAGATCGAAAAGGACAAGATCTTAATACAAACTATAATATTACAGGGATTTATCCACAGCTGCACTGTGTGTCTCCAGAGGTGACACCCAGGGCAGTGTTCCCCACCAGTGTATGCCACGGTCTTTGGCGCAGCACAGCAACTCCCCTAGCCAGTCGCTTGGTTCGCGCCAGGCGCCCCACACAGCACCAGCAGTCGGTGCACGAGTGTTTCCAGCACCGGCTTTTTTGTGCGGCTCTGTGCGCTACACGCGGACATGGACGCACAATGTTTCGATCCCACCGGATTGTACGGTCCTGCGGTGCACAGGAGGAAACAGCCGTGTCAGCACGATGAGCCAGGGGGTGGGAAGTGAGGGGAATCGCGGGGGCACGCCAGACAGGCCAGACTCCGAATGGGGCAGCGTCTGGAATAGGGGTGGAAGCGACTAGTCGACTGTCTGACAAGCAGATGCTTATTGGATAGTCGATGGTCACTCAGGGTATGTCTACACTACAAAGTTAGTTCGAACTAACGGACGTTAGTTCGAACTAACTTTAATATCAATAAAGACAGAGTCAATGTTGGAAGAAACGTTATCTTTATTTTGTACATCAATAAGAAGGGGGGCTAGGGAAGGGCAAGTGGAAGGAGGTGAGGGAGGAATGGGGTACGAGCCCCCGATGGGGAGGACTGGGCTGGCTCTGCGGGCTTCTGGGGGTGGAAGCTCTCCTGCAGCCCCCCAATTACTCCCTCTCCCCAGATGGCAGCCTGCGGCAAGTGCAGCCGGGCTGATGGCCGAGTGGTGTGATGTGCCCAGTGTGGGCACTCAGGGCACTCCAAGCCAGAACTTCTTTGCAAGCGGGGCACCCCTTAGAACTGTGTGTCCGGGGTGGGGGTCGGGACCCTTTAAGCGCAGCCCTCGGCTAGCCTGAGACAGTATCTCCATGCTCTAAGTCCTCCTTTTATGCCCTGCCGGCACTGCTTCCGGCCATCCTTAAGCCCTGTTCAGAGTCCACTCAATGTGGACTTACTAGTTCGAACTAGCAAAACGCTAGTTCGAACTAGTTTTTAGTTCTAGATGCGTTAGTTCGAACTAGCTTAGTTCGAATTAACTAATTCGAACTAAGTTAGTTCGAACTAACTTTGTAGTGTAGACATACCCTCAGCTAGTCGCTCCCCTCCTTGCTGCCTGTATCAAAGAGAGGAGCAGGAGCTGGTGCGGAGGGAGCCGGCTTAAAAGCCAGGTCCCCCCAGCACCGTCTCCATGGGGGGACAGGGGAGGCAAACGCGTCCCTGCTGCTGCGTTTCTCTCTTTGAAATGTACAAGAACCACCTGCGGCTCTGGTACGTTTCCAAGGGCAAGGCGCAGCGGGATGGCGAGCGCCCCCCTTATCGACTGATTGAGTGGTTGGAAACTCCATCGACTACTCGATTAGTCGATTAATCGAAATGTCACATCCCTAGTCCGGAGAGGTTGGTGTAGGGTAGCGCCGTTTGGTTACACTCTGTGCGCCCACCTCCCCTGTTTGAGGGTATGTCTACACTACCACCCTAGTTCGAACTAGGGTGGTAGTGTAGACATACCCTCAAACAGGGGAGGTGGGCGCACAGAGTGTAACCAAACGGCGCTACCCTACACCAACCTCTCCGGACTAGGGATGTGACATTTCGATTAATCGACTAATCGAGTAGTCAATGGAGTTTCCAACCACTCAATCAGTCGATAAGGGGGGCGCTCGCCATCCCGCTGCGCCTCGCCCTTGGTCCCATAGACACTGGCTTCCTGCAGGCCCGCTCTGGCCCTGCCCCTACCAGACCCCTTCCCCGAAGCCCCCACCTTACCTCTTCCTGCCCCTCTCACGCCAGGCCTGGCCCCCACTCCGTCCCCCAAGTCCCCACCCGTGCTTCTGCCATCCCTGCTCCTCCCCCTCCCTTCCACAGCATGCTGGGAAACAGCTGATTGCTGGTGAGGGAGAGGAGTAGACGGGGCAGGGACCTTTGGCAAGGAGGAGGCACTGGGAAGGAAGAGAGGAGCTGGCTTCTGGTGGGTGCTAAGCACCTGCTACTATTATCCTTCCCCCCCTCCCCCCGCCTGGCTGCTCCCACCCCAGAGCCCGGACAGAGTCAGTGCCGCTGGTTTTCCTGGCCCCCGTAACATTGCTTGTTTAGGTGCTGCCTCTGCCAGGCTCTCGCCCACGTGAATTATCAGTGGCCCTGAGCCCCGTGGTCGGAAAGTCCGGCCATGACCTCCGCGGCTTCTGTTACAGCGGCTTTGAAGAACCGCTGCTGGGGCAAGTGGGGGGCGGGGGGGAGCGACCGGACTTAGAAGAGGCCAAGAACCAGCTGATCATTAGCAACGCCAAGATGCGCCAGGAGCTGAAGGAGATAGAGGACCAGATCCTGTACCGGCTCAGCTCCTCCGAGGGGAACCCCGTCGATGACTTGGAGCTCATCAAAGTGCTGGAGGCGTCCAAGCTAAAAGCAGGGGAAATCCAGGTGAGTGCTGATCCACGTGCGCAGACACACAGCCCTGGGTGGGTGAACCCGTTAGGACCAGGGAAACATGCAGCTGCGATGCCTCCGCATGTCCCGCAGGCCAAGGTGAAGATAGCCGAGCAGACGGAGAAAGACATCGACATCACGCGGCTGGAGTACGTGCCCGTAGCCGTCCGCACGCAGATCCTTTACTTCTGTGTCTCCGACCTGTCCAACGTGGATCCCATGTACCAGTATTCACTCGAGTGGTTCCTCAACATCTTCTTGTCCGGAATCACCAACTCCGAGAGAGCAGGTACCCGAGGGGTCAGGCGCTTGGTGCTGTGAGAATAGGATCCTGGCACTGGTTTGCTCCACACCCGGGGACCAGTCCAGCCCGGGGGCAAGTATGAGCTTCATGCCAGATCCAAGTCTGGCCCTGGCTGTTTTCTGCTTGAACGAGGTCTCCTTCCCGTCACGCTCAGAAGTTCCTTCTGTCTCGAGACACATAAAGCTAGTTCAAGAAGAGACATGGAGGCGTCCTACATTGGCCAGCTTGGCGTTGCCAGTAAGGATGTTAAATATCGGTTAATTCACTAGTCGAGTAGTCGATGGAATTTCCATCGACCACTCGATTAGTCGATAGGCACTTCCCCGTTCCTCCTTTGAAATGGGCAAGAGCCCCAGTGGGGGCCGAGCGGGGGCTCTGGTGCATTTCAAAGGTGGAACTCTGTGTGCAGCCCACACCAGTGGGAAGCCCCGCTGACCCCGTTCTCCCCGCGCTTCGAAATGCACAAAGCTGCCGCTTCGAAGTGCTCCCTCTTCCCCCCCCCCATTTGCTGCTTCTGTCTGATAGAGGCAGCAAAAGGGGGATCCAATAAGCCAGGGCTACTCAACTGTGGAAGCCCCGGGGGCCCCAATGATACTCACAGCACATGCCAAGGGCCGCAGCTTAGGGGTGGTTGCATAGACATGCAAATATAGATGCAAATATATGCAAATAGCTTCTTTCACACTGACAGGCAAGATTACACAACACAGGCCCCATTTGAGTCAGTTCTGCTGATATTAATAAAATGCGACATTCACCCAATTTGCACCCATACGACAGCACTTTCAGTGAGCAGTGCCAGGCCAGGAATTGAACTACTAAAACGCGTATCAGCAGAAGACCATTAAAGAGACTCCTTTTTTGTTTTGGCTCCCGCCCGTGGGCCACATGTTGAACCCAAACCGTACCATGGGCTGCAAACAAACAGGCCGTCCACAAGCCGTGTGCTGAGTAGCCCTGCGATAAGCATTTGCTTAGCAGATAGTCGACTGACTAGTCCTTAACATCCTTAGTTGCCAGCATGAGAGAATTCTCTCCCTGGGAGCATCTTTCTCCTCCACTGGTTCTCTTCTGAAGGGCAGATTATTACCTGGCACACAGCCGGGTAAGCAGTGTGCCAGGTTACCCCTGAGCACCTCTGGCTCCTTCCTTTGGGGAGTGCTTTTTCCAGGCAGTAAACTTTATCAAGCCCTTCGTGCCTCGGTAAGCACCTACCTGCCATCCACGTGATGTTCTGAGGAGCGAGACGGAGGCCCAGCGGCACTGGGATCCGCCCTCTGACACCACGTTTCCCTGCCCCATAACCACCAGGCCAGTCCCATGCAAAGATGTCTCGTTTCTGCTCAGACGGCTGCTGTTACTGAATGTCATGGCTCAGGGTGTTTAAAATGCCGGCAGCACAGAGCAACCTTGAAACTGAGACAAGGGCAAATGTTTCCCTCGGCCGCTGCCACCTCGCTGTCACCCCAGGAAGAGCCCAGACGCCTGTACTGAGGTGTGAGCAGGGGGCGCCATTCCTGAACACACCATGGCAATAGTCCGTGCACCTGCGCTGAGCAGAAACACGCTGGGTGTATTGATAGCGGCCCGCGCCAGGAGCGTCTTCCTCCGTTTCCACCGGTGCTTGCCTGAGTCGGTTGCCCTCTGTTCCTCGTGAAGGAGCAAACGGTCCTGGGACAGACCTGACGGAAGCTGAGATTAGCGGGGAGGGCCTTGAACACTGAAATGTACCCAGATCCCGGCTGGCACAGGCCACCGTGGTACTGAGTGTGGGGCTGGTTTGTGCCTGGCTCTTTTCAGACACCCTGAAGAAGCGGATCGTGAACATAAACAATTACCTCACCTTCAGTCTCTACTGCAACGTGTGCCGCAGTCTCTTTGAGAAGCACAAACTCATGTTTGCCTTTCTGCTGTGCGTCCGCATCATGATGAACGAAGGGAAAATCAACATGGTGAGTAAATAACAGGCTCCCGCTTGTTTAAATGAGCAGCTATCCTGGGACAGCCAAGTCCAGACTGCACCTGCTCCGTACTTTCTACAGATGATTCTCCACCCGTGGCTGATGATTTGGATTCTCTGGCCAAGTTTCTAGTCATAAGGGAAGAGTTACCCATCCTGGTCATCTGTTAGGGTCTGGCTAATGTTCTGAATCTTCCATCAAAATACAATTTTGATCTCCTGGGGTCTTCTCTAGGTAATTTAGTCTGCAGCGCACACCTTTCTCCAGTTTGGCTGTGACGAAAACGAAGGGAATTCAGGGTGGTCGGTTCTGGCTCATTCATGGAGTATCTGCTACCTGACCCATTAAAAGAGCTTTTTACCCCACACGAGAAGGTTGGCAGATGGTAGAGTGTCTTACCGCACTTAAATTACTGGGGGTTTGCAAGGGTTGGGCTTTCATACAGAGCTTTGCTTCCAGAAAGATCAAGATGAATTTGGCTAAAGAGAAGGGATTTTACAGAAAATGGGCTAAACAAAGTGGCTGTGTCTACACTGGCCAGTTTTTCCAGAAAATCAGCCGCTTTTCCGGAAAAACTTGCCAGCTGTCTACACTGGCCACTTGAATTTCCGCAAAAGCACTGACGATCTCATGTAAGATTGTCAGTGTTCTTGTGGAAATACTTTGCTGCTCCCGTTCGGGCAAAAGTCCTTTTGCGCAAAAGGGCCAGTGTAGACAGTTCAGATTTGTTTTGCGCAAAAAAGCCCTGATCGCGAAAAGGGCAATCGGGGCTTTTTTGCGGAAAAGTGTCCATGACAATCTAGACGCTCTTTTCCGAAAATGCTTTTAACAGAAAACTTTTCCGTTAAAAGCATTTCCGGAAAACCATGCCAGTCTAGACGTAGCCAGTAAGTCTTGCGGCTAACCTGGAAAGGAAATATCAGTTGATGTCGATGTTCTTCCTTTTCCTTCTTTGCGTAGTAGGGTGCTTTCTGCTTTAGGCATTCGTTTAAGGCCATGTGTTCACTAGCCGCTGGATCGATGGTCAGCACCTGAGCCAGAGGGGCTTGATTTATTGTGTCTGGTGTAGATGCGATCAATCGATTGCCGAGAGCTCTCCCCTCAATTCTAGTACTCCACCAAAATGGGCAGAGAAAAATGGGCAGAGTCGAGGAGAGCGTGTCAGCTGTCAACTCAGGCCTTGTCTACGCTGGCATGTTTTGCCACCAAAAACTGCCTCTTGGTGACAAAACTGAGAGTGTACACACTGCAATGAAAATTTTGTTGGGAAAAACACCCAATTTTGGTGACAAAAAGCTTCCAGCCCCGCAAGAGCCTTTTGTCTTTTCCCCTCCCTTTATTGTCGACAAAAAGCCAGCGTGGACTCTGCTGTTTGTTTTGTCGAGAGAACTGGCTTCTGCCAGGATCCCACAAAGCCTGTCCTGATGGTTCTGCTCAGTGTTTTGAGATCTCCGCTACCCTGCAGGCTGCATCCCTCCCCTTTCAAATCTCCAGGAAGTATCTGACAGCTGAGTGAGCTGCTCCCTTTGGGGAACAAACAACAAGAGCAAATTGCTGGAATGTTCCTGTTCTGCCCTACTAGGAACACAGGCGGCTGCCGCAGGGGGAGGGCTAGAGAGATGCCGTGCTGCTTGCACATTCCTCAGCACAGAGAGCTCACAGAGCTACTCAGGATGCTGCTCCGAGCAGCTGAGGAGGCAATGGGAGAACTCGGAGAGAATCCCAAGAAGCACAGAGATCAGCTCTGCCTTCCCACAATGCTGCCTTTTTTGGCCAACCCTTCCCCGTGCCGACACAGCCTGACTGTGGCGAAGACTCCGCAGTAAGCAGACCTAAGCACGTCGACCTCAGCTACGTGAATAACATAGCTGAAGCTGCGTAACTTAGGTCACAGCCCACGGGAGGATAGACCAGGCCTGGGTGAACCTAATGCTGGACCCCTCGCGCTGCAATCAAATCCCAAAACTACTCCTCTGCTCATAAAGCAGGACTCTGTAGCAGGCCGATCAGCCGACCCTGTTACGGGGCTGTACGAAATCTAGACTTCTCAACCCCTAGCGAGGTAAGGCCTAGGGTGCATTGGCAGTGCTGTGGCAGAAATCTCACGATCTGACCTGCGACAGAGCGGACAGCACGACAGACCCGAGTAGACAGTCTCTTACTGGAACCTGGCGTGCCTTACAGGTCAGGGCACAGATATTCCGCACGCTGGCAGTTGACACTGAAGTGAAACTCCCTGACCCGTCACAAATTGTGTTCACACTCCCCCACACTGGTCCTCGAGAAGCTAAACAAGAAATCACACAGGCCCCTTCATTGCTTTCCAGTTCCCCTGCTCCCACTTAGCACATGGGTCCAGAGCAGTGAGAAGTGATTGAAACACTCTTCAAAATGTTCTCCTGACCCCAAAGAGCCAGCCACATTACCAGATCAAGATTAGTTTGGCTCTTGCCCAAAATACCATGCTGCCAGCCGGCCCTTTCTGGTCTAAAACAGACGGTTTCTTAGAAAGAAAGAAGGGTTATTCACACTGCAGGCTCTGGCAAGGGCCTGCCCCACGGAGCGCGACCTTCGAGGCCGAGCAGGCTGGCGGTAGACGCGTGCTGTGTGCCCCGCAGGATGAGTGGCGTTACCTCCTGTCTGGAGGGACCGTGAAAACGATGCGCGAGAACCCGGCTCCCGAGTGGCTGTATGAGAGAGCCTGGGGGGACATCTTGGCCTTAACCAACCTGAGGAATTTCTCCAGCTTTGCAGACGACTTTGTGGACAACGTCGAGGGGTTCCGCGCAATTTTTGACAGTGCCGAGCCGCACCGGTGAGTCCGCCCCCCCGCAGCTGTGGATCCGAGTTCGGTTGGCTGCGGGGTGGGCAGCAGAGACATGCTCCCGCAGCGATGCAGCCACGTGGCCTGGAGCAAGAATGAGGCAGAACCCAGGCCTGGCGCACAGTGAGCTCAGATCCCAGGGCTGACGTGGGTGGGTTTAGGAGAGCCGTTCTCCGTGGCCTGGTGTATTCGGCGTCTGGTTTAAGCCCCTTCCGTCCCCAGAGGGTAACGTACAGTCAGCATGCGATTGTCTTGCAGAGAGCCGCTGCCTGGCAAGTGGGACAGCCAGCTGGACTCCTTCCAGAAGCTGCTGCCCCTCCGCTGCCTGCGAGGAGATAAGGTCACCAACGCCATGCAGGACTTTGTGGCCCTGAATCTGGACCAGCGCTTCATCGAGCCCCAGGTAACCGGCCGGGCTCGTCCGGGGCGTGCTTGGAGCGAAGAGACGGGGTGACGCTCACCGGCAGCACAGGGCCTGGGATCGCCCCTGCCGGGCGGGGGGAGGCTGATGTGGCTGTAAATGGATGCTCTGCAACCACTCTAATACCTCGCTCGTGTACAGCATTGTCATGGAGTGCGGGGGAGTCACCCGGCCCCGCATCCCCGGCCACAGCCAGATGGGACTCCCGGCAGGCAGAACAGAAGGGGCACTGGTTCCCAGGGACACAGCGACGTCTTGTTACAGGAACCAGGAGCAGCCAGGACCATCCCATTTGGGGAGAGGGGACCCGGAGCCAGCACCCCACCCCCCTCCCTGCATCCTCAGGCACCCAGCAACTGGTCCCAGCCCTGCAGGCAGCCCCGCCCCTCCTTTGTTCAGGTGAACCCACCCAGGCTCAGGTTACAAGAGAGCCTGAGCCACTGTGCACTTGCTAAGATGGGGCAGCCTCCCCCTCAGTGAGAGCCACACCCAACATTACCATCGCCAGCCAGGGAAACTGAGGCACACACTGCGTTACTGCAGAACAGACAGGACAGTAGGAACCACAATCCCCACTGTGTCTCAGGCACTTCCCATGAGTAGCTCTCCGAGCCCTTTGTAAGGCAGGGCAGTGGCGTTATCCCATCTCCCTTTTGCAGCTGCGTAAACTGAGGCACGGAGCAGTGAAGTGACTTGGCCAAGGTCAACAGGCCAGTGGCAGAGCCAGGCATGGAATCGAGGCCTCCTGAGTCCCAGTGGGGAAGGGGCGGGGCCTCAGGGCAGGGCAGATCCTGGGTTTCCCTTCAAAATAAAAAGGTGGGAGACCGCTCTCTGGGCAGGCCACCCCACACAGGCCGCCTGACAGCCCCTTCCTGTCTTTCAGACGTCAGACCTCACTGCGGTGTTCAGGGAGTCCGCCTCCACCACCCCGCTGATATTCGTGCTCTCCCCTGGGACGGACCCAGCCGCCGATCTCTACAAATTTGCTGAAGAAATGAAGTTCTCCAAGAAGCTGTCGGCTATTTCTCTGGGCCAGGGTCAGGTGAGCCACTGGCAGGCTCAGGGCAAGGACTGTGTCACTCCGTGCCCAAGGGGTTACTCGTGTAGCGCCCGGGAAGCCAGGCTCTAACCTACCCGTCTGGAGAGGCCCCTTTGGCCGTCGCGGGA